AGGTGTGTGCGGTGGACATGGACGCGCACAACGCCAGCGAGGCGTCGAGCCACCTGGCCATCATGCAGGAGCGGCTGGCGTCGTGTGCTCGCATAGAGGACCTGGGCGACAGGATCGGCCAACTAGAAGCCAAACTGGAAAGATACGTCAAACACAAGTGAGCACAGTACGGGAGGAAGGGAGGGAGGGGACAGAGGGGGGGGAAAGCGATCCCCTTTCACTGCACTGTCTGTCTGTCTGCCTGTCTGCAGGCACCCTGATGTGTGGACATTCACCATCGAGAATGCTAGCAAGGTGAGCGACGGACACACACACACACACACAGAGAGAGAGAGAGAGAGGGAGAGAGAGAGAGAAGGGCGGGTGGATACTCACAAGTCTACAAGCATCTTGTGCACTGCGTGCCCTCTCTCCGTGTGCGGTGTCTGCAGTTGTTCAGCGACACGGGCGGTGGCAACCAGGACTTCAACTTGCCCAAGTTTGCCATCGGCGGGCCGCAGGTGGTGGAGGGCTTCTACGTCAATGTCGAGCTCAAGGAACCTGACTGCGACATGGGCATCTTCCTCTTCCCGCCGCCCGGTAAACAGCAGCAATCCACACACACATATGCCCGCACAGGCACCCACACATTCACTCACTCCCCCTGTGTGTCGACATGTCAACCAACAGAAATACGTCTGAAGGCCGAGTACAGCTTCTTCCTTGGCCCCGGGCAGCGTGCGTCGCGCTTCACGACGCCCTCGATCAGCAAGGAGTTCGACCCGCTGCCAGAGGGCGAAGTGGTCGGCACCGGCAAGGGCAAACTTAGAAACAGGTGTGTGTGAGTGGTGGGATGGGAGAGAAGGAGGGGCAACGATGGGTGGTGTGGATGTGTGTGGATGTGTGTGTATGTGTTGCACTGACTGTGTCAAAACACAGGGAGCAGTTGCTGAATCTGTGTACGGCTGACGACGCGTTGATCATCGGTGTGGAGTTCAAGTCGCTGCGGATCCTCAAGACCATGAACCAACAGAACAAGGAGATCACCATCGGAGAGGAACTCATACAATAGACAGACAGACAGACAGACAACACGTGACTGACCAGCGTATCTATCGGCCACACCCGATCCGATTCACGTGTGGGCTAAGCTACCTGCCTAGAAAAGACAGACGGATTCCTCTGTGTGTGTGTGTGCGCGTATATGTATGTCTGTGTTTGCGGTTCGGTCTTTTATCCACGACGTTGGCCCGTTGTTTACGGGGTGAGTGCAGATGTGGAACAAACGGTATGGATTGCATGTGTCTGTCTATCCGCGTTGGTGCCATTTTTTTGCGGTACTTTGATTGATACAAAAGAGAGGGAGACGTATAGCAAAGGCGGCCGGGAGGGAGGGAGGGAGGGAGGGAGACGGTGTGGTTAAAGGACAATGAGTACCCACGTGCACACCCTGGGTGTCTTGCTGTGTCTCTTTGGTGCGCCTTCTTGCGTTCCGTGTAGGATATGGTCAGACAGCTGACGAAACATCGTCCATCTGTCTGCTCGTATCTGCGGCGCGGCAAGGCCAAGGATGGTACTAAAGGAACATACGCATCAGCGCACGCATCAATTTCCTTCAAGCGATGGACAGTCAAGGCCTGCATCAAGTCCGCTTGGCACAACACCTGTCTTGCGGACCCACAAAGAGACAGGTCCATTCGCCCATGGTGCGGCGGATGCGCGACAATCGACGAGGCATTCAGTGATGGCCAGGCACCCGTAAGACCACCTCATGGGTGATTAGCTGCACTCCCTGTCGGCCCGCTACCGAGCGGCGTCAAAAGGGAGAGAGACAGAAAGACAGACATCAGGCAGGCAGGCAGAGATCCGTTTTGTGTAGAGGCCTCCTATATGTGTCGGTGGTGCGTTGTGGTTAGATGCGATCGGCTCAGGCTGTTCATTCGCAATCACATCGCACAAAGCCGTGCACCATCCACAGAGCCATCCATGCAACACGCCCAACCGACTCGCACACCGTCTCTCCCACTCAGGATCATCTGTCTGTCTGTCTGTCTGTGTTAAGGCTCGCCGAGGGGCTCGGCAGCCACCGCCCTGACACTTCAATTCCCCCACCGTGTGTGTGCCTTGCCTTGCCTTCTGTCCGCCCATCTCTGGTGCTGTCTGTCCTCTCTCTCCGACACACACACACCTCTCCTTACACCTCTCTCTCTGGTCGGCCAATGCACATGAGTGGGGGCAAATGGGAGAGGGGAGCGGAGGGAAGGGGACAGCAGCATGACAGACAGGAAGCGCCGAATGAGCCAGACAGACAGACAGACAGACGGGCAGAGAGGTGTAAGGAAACGATTGACAGCTTTACGTGTCATGAGGAGAGGAAGAGGCATTCCATCCAGCCATCCATCTATCCATGAGCCATCACCATCGCACCACACCACCACACGGCTCGAGGGAGTCCCCGCCCTCCCCCCTCTATCTACCGGCAACCCACACTGGCAAGATAGAATATGTCGGGCAGATCGTTCCAATATCAACACCACCGCTCGGCCTGACATAAACCGAAAAATATCAGACACATCATTGTGTACGTCGTGAGCGTATCATCTGCTCGTGTCTGTCGTGTTTCACACACCTCAGCTGTCTATTGGCCGAAGATCCTGGCTGAGATGACGGCCCCCAGCACCACACGCGCCAGCCGAGTGGTCTCCGGGAAGCGGTCCTTGAAAGCACCACCCACACCAGACACAGCCGACTCGGTCGTGTGGACTGACACATTCACTGGAAACGAAGGAGAGAGATGAGAGTGGTCCCGTCTGTGCGCATGGGCTGACCGCTGAGGCCCAGCACATGCTGGACGATGATCCATGCGACGAAGGGGTGGCCGGCGCCGGTCAGGACGAGACGACGACTAGGGAAGCCGGGAGTGGAGCCGAATGATGCGGTTGTGGTGCATCCCTCCACCGGTGTGTGAGGAGACTGCGTCATGAGGGTGTGCAGCCGGTTGTTGTCAGCAAACCTGACACACACAAAAAAAACACTCGTGTGTCGTGACAATGCCCACACAGAGTGGTGCCCCGCCTCACCTGTCGAAAACGCGGCAAGTGCTGTTGTGCTGGTGAGTCCCCCTGAAGCGGTTGATGATGATCCTCTTGACGCACGACGACACAGACGAGTAGTCCCAACCGCCAGCAAACAGCGACCGCCAGCTCGCGGACCATAGTAGACGCCGCTGCGGACCGCTGGGTCATGCGGCTGTCGGTGCTGCTGGTAGGGGTGGTTGGGAGGGAGGGGCGGGTCGAAGTCGATCTCGAAGCCGGCTTGGTCCTTGATGGCCCGCAGTGTGTTGCCGTGCTGGAACAGGTGGAAGGTCCTGTTGATGCCGAATTGGATGTGGCGGCCGACCAACTTGAGCTGGGCCAATACACGGGGATCGGCCAAATACGCCTGCACACACAACACATCAACACATCAACACAGGCACCACACCGATTGAGAGCCATTGTCCCTCCCTCGGTTGGCTTACCGTCTTGTTTGGGTATCGGTGCAGATCGGTCGCCGTGAGCCTCACAGGCAGCTGGCAGCAGCCACACTGCCCCGCCAGCTCAATGACCTCGCTCATCTCACTCCAGCCGCCCGCCTCCGTCACACACAGCGCCGCCAACAGGTCTCCCTCGCCCATCTGCTGCTGGTCAAATGTCAGCAGCTGCTGTCCTTTGGCCGTCCGCCGCAGCCCCGCCTGTGTGCTGAGTTCATGGCTGAGCCGCTGCCGCAGCTGAGGCGCTCCGAAGAGCTCTTTGAGCCATCTGCAGGTCTTCCTCAGACGCAGCACGTCTCGCAGCAGAAAATCGCTGCTGCGGTGGGCGCAGACGTACCACACGGGGTGCTGCTGTTGCTGCTGCTGTTGCTGCTGGGCGGGGGCCGTCAGATCTGCCGACAGTGAGCTGGCACCTCCCTGTTGCTGCTGTGTCGCTGCCGCAGCACCACCCGCACCAATCGAGCCACCTGAAGGCACCACACAGCATAGAAGGGTCATGACAATGTGCAGTCCACCAACAGCAGCCGATGGTTGGCGTACCTCCGATATGCCCACCATCCGCAGGGCTGACGTCTACGCTTCTTGGCGCCGCCGTCATCAGGCACCTGACCAGCACCTGACCAGCGACCCACATCAATGAGTTTGTGTGTCTGTGTGGGTGGGTGTGGACTTGTGCGTACCACTCTGTAGCTATGCTGTTTGTTGCTGTCGGTCTCTTCTTGCCGCCCACCTCTGGAGGGAGCCGGGGCGTCGTGGCTACTGTCCATCTGACGAACACGGGTCAACCACCTGCACCAAGGAAGCAGCCACACAGCGAGATGGGATGCAGGCATCAGTGTGCCTGTGCTCTCAGTCTGCCGACTCACTCACTCCTCTGCAGTGTGTCAGTTTTGGCGTCAGCCTTCGAGTTTTTGAGCCACAAAGAAGCAGCCACAAGAAGCTTGTTGGATTGATGTGTGGTTTTGCCAGCCATCCAACAAGCTCGCAAAAGAAGAAGAGACGGGACGATTTTAAGGCAGCGTGGACGTCACCCATATTCTTCGCTGAGGCCTCTGAAGCACTCGGGGCTGCCGAGCATTTCGTCTTTCTCGGGATCGAGTGAGGATCGAATTCCCATCCTCGCGCCTGTGCTCCTGAGGTACGCCAGGCAGAGAGAGGGCCAATCTGCCATCGGTGCCGCCCTCATGTGCTGTGTGTGCTTGTGCGTCAGGGAGGGACCCTGAGCATCGCTAAAGTAGCCGGGGCCTCAGAGAAGGCCTTGGAGTTGTCACACGCAGAATCAGATCTACAGCAGCAATGGAGGACGGTAGACAGGTGAGGCGCATCACAGCACCGCTTGCAATGGCGAATGTACATTTCACCCGAGGTGTATGGGTGCAGGTCAAGAGGACTCGTCATGCGCCGGCTTCGTCTGCGTCTGCTGCTGGTGGTGGTTTTGAGAGTGACGAGGAGCGGCAGCGACGGGAGGAGAGGGAGCGGAACCTTCGGCAACAAATCACTGACACGGTGAGCCAGCCACCGACGCACTGAGGGCATACACACTGATCGACATCTCTTGCCGTCCGTGTGCTGTGTGGCTGTCCTTCAGGAGGGCCTTCTGAGCTACATGATGGCCTTCCTGCCCATCAACCTGATGGTGCAGCTGGCCAAGTCCATCTGGCAGCACGCCGCACCCGACCTCTCGGACGTCCCCATCAGCTCGGCAACCAAGGAGGAGCGGTCCTTTTGGCAGCACGTCCGTCTCGCCTTCGTCACCCAGCTGGCCGCCCGACTCACCCACCTCACGTCCATCACCCTCCACCATCCCATCGGCTTCTCCTGCTGGTGTTTGGACGTGTTTGTGGCCATGGTAGAGGGTCACATCGCCGGCCGACGGGCAGCCGACCTCACCGGAGGGACACTGCAGACCGTCGCCATCGAAGAGGGGGCTCGGCTGACCGGCCCGGCTGGGCAGAGCGTCGCGAGGACTCACCCACCACTCCCAGCCCCTCTCGACCCGCCCCCGACCCTCCACGCACTCACCACCATCGCCGTCCTGCAAAACGATCACCGACAGCTGGCTGACCGAGGCTGGCTGATGCCCTCGCTTGCCATCGTGCAGCAGTGCGGGTGTTGGTGGGACGCTGACAGGCTGGGCCAGTTCATCAGCTCGTCCCGCTCGCTGCGGCGTGTGGTGTATAGACTTAACGGTGAGGACTGGGCGCGTGTGTTTGAGCGCATCCCTGCGGCACCGGCTGGGCAGCAGGGGGGGCCACTCGCCCAGCTGGAGAGCATCGGCACCATACTTCTCTTCAATAACTCTCCGGCGGGCGTCGAGCGGCTTCAGGTGTGACCACAAAGGGCAGGACAGCAGCGCCCGTGGATTGGCTCATGATGTCGTTCCTTTATGTATGTTGTTGCCTTCAGCAAGTGCTCGTTGCGCGGGGCTGTCAACAGTCACTCAAGCAGTTGCACGTGCAATTCTGTTTCGTCTTCTGCATCGACCGCCACAGCTTGCCGATACTGCTTGCGCTGGACCGACTGGTCGGCACGTGCTGTCGACAGGACGCCCCACTGACATTCAGGACCACCGCCCATTGCGGCTTCGACCTCTCCATCTTCTACAACACCGACTTTCCCTCCCACCCGTCACCCTCATTCAAGACCATGCTCCAGCAGCTGGCCCAGCAGGCCACGAGTGTGCAGTACACCTTCACCCAGGACGGCCTCACCGACCCGCACACCGACCCCAGCCCGTCGGCCATCGAGATGGCATCCAGCCTCGCATTCGACAAGGTCGTGTGGGTGGACGTCGAGAATGCCATTGGCTTCCACCCCCCGGCCGACACCCCACCGCCCCACCCCGCCATCATCAGCCACCTCAAGCCATTCCCCAAAGCCTCAGAGCTGAATGTCTGGAGCGACCTGGGCGGTGCTGCTGGCCAGCTGCTCGCCGCCAAGATGCCCAAGCAGCTGACGAAGGTGTACATCTACAAGGTGTTGGGTGCCGAGGAGGTTCGGCGTGTTGACGGCGCTGGGAAGGGAGAGGGAGGTGAATGCGGTGGGGATGGGGGACATCGGTGTCGACCAACTAGAGCAACTGCTGGTGGGGGCGGCCAACGAGTTGCCGACGATCAGGGAACTTCGTTTCACCATGACACGTACGCTGAGAGAAGGGTTCATTAGTGTCCGTCCTCATTTCTGCCGTGTGTGTGTCCTTCTTCAGTGCCCGATGATTTGGAGGATGCCGGCAGCTTCGTCCACACCCAGCTCTCGTCGGTGACCCCGCACATGAGGGGCCTGCAGTGTGTGGAGCTGGGAGTCGACACGACGACAGCCGAGCAGCATGGTTGCATCGAGGCCTCCCTCGAGGGCACCAACATCGATGCCTTCAGCGTCACACGCATAGTCATCTCGGCCACACGAGTCACAATAACTGCGGCGCGCACTGCCTGAGGTGAGGGAACGGCACTCATTGATAAGAAGGGCGGCTGATTTTGTGACCGTGTTCATGTCTGACCTCTGTCGGTGTTGGTGGTGGGGTCTGTCAGGCAGGCTTCTCTTCTTGGTGTGGGTCAGCGTGTATGAGTGCTGTGGACCTCGATCATCCACATGTGGCCCTTCGTAGCTAGCTACCCCGGATTGCCATTATATTCACACGTATGTGTATCGGAGTGTGTGTGGTCTATAGGGATGGATGGACGGATGGATGTCTTACGTGAGATGAGAGAGACGGATTGGATTGAGGTAATAGAGACAGACACGTACGTTTTGTATGTGAGAGGAAATGTTCATTATCGTCACCCACACACACCTGCACAGATCCATCCGTCCATCCATCCCTCCAATGAATGCCACAAGGCCGGCAGTAAGTCAAATGGCATGTATGTCGCGTCTTCACATCTTGGCCTCCTTCACCAAGTCGCGCTCGTCCCAGAAGGCCTCTTCTCTCTTCCACTTGAGCGTCTGCCGCCTACTCACACACACACACATACACACACAAACACACACACGGAGGGAGGGAGGGAGGGAGGGAGAGAGGGAGGGAGGGAGAGAAGTTTGTGTCGGTCTGTGTGTGTGTGCGGCAGAGTTAGTACTTGATGGCCTCCTCCCTCCTCTCTTTAGCGGCCAGCTCCTGCTTCAGCAGCGCCTGGGAATACGCACTGCATCCACACCACACACCACACACCACACACCACAAAACGACACACAGTCAGTCCATTCGTTCGTATAGATCAGCACTGTGGGCGGTGTCCTGACTGACTTGTAGATGAGTGCCGTCCGCCTCTTCGACAGGAGTGCCCGCAGGCGGCCCATGACGTGGTCATGGTCGATGTAACAACCTGATCAGGCACACACACACTTCCACAGGCGAGTGTGTGACGGCGTGTGCGTCGGCCCACCGACCCACCTTGAAGCAGTCTGTTTGTGTCGGTGTAGGCCGTCCGGCCGTGAGCTATCCTGCCCGCAGCCGCACAGCACGACAGAAGAACATGCCTCGCCCCTTTGTGTGTGGCATGGTGGTTCTGATGGTTGCTGGCGTGCCTGTGGTTGTCAAATATGAGCAGGTCGCCTTGCTGCAGCCGCACCTTCACCTACACACACACAGAGGGAGAAGGAGATACAATCACCCACATGTGTCTGTGTGTGTGTGTGTGTGCGGAGACCATGTATCGGTCGTTGTTGAGCATCGCGCCCATCCTCTGCCACGCGACGTGCTGCTGCTCGTCCGTCGACCCATCAGCCGCCTGAATGCCATGCAGGAATGTGCGTGTAAGCTGTGTGTTCAGGCGCCCACTCACCCACCTTTGCGGGGCTTGCCGAGCGGTTATTGTAGACGATGCGCCTTACGCGGCCTGCATCCTCTCACACACATAACATAGGTGTATGTGCGTGGGCAGATAAAGTGTGTGTGAGAGGATGCAGGCCTAGGGAGGGGGGGATACCTACCGCGTCGATCCACATCGATTGGTGGCCTCTCTGCGTACATGTCGACCTCGTTGAACCGCGTGTGTGCGTCGGGGGGGCTCTGGACCAACAGCGGCTCTTCCTTCTTGACCTCTGCACACACACCACACACACACACACACACACGAAGAGGCAATGCCCAGATGTGTGTGTGTGGGGGGGGATGTACCGTCTTGTCCGCCGAACTGGTCTGGCCTCTCCTGCTTGATGCTCTCTTGGAGGGCCTTCAGCCGCTGTGTTGATGCATTCACACACACACGCACACACGCGTGTGCAGGTTTGTATGTGTGTGCGTGCGTGTGTGTCTCACCTTTTCCATCGGGTCAGTGACGTCCACATAATGAAACGGCCAGGGCCTGCAGCACACACACGCACACAGAGAGAGCCAGAGAGACACACATGCGGGCTGTGCTGTGCTGTGCTGTGCTCAACTGTGTGAGCGTGTTGAAGTCCTCCGGCCATCTCTCGCGTATGTCGTTGGCCACAGCAAAGCCGTCACTCAGCAATGTCACCGCCTCATCTTTGCGCACGCACACACAGAGGTAGAGAGAGCGAGAGAGATCGAGAAGGAGCGAGAGCGTCATACCGTTGTGTGCCGGCTGGATGCAGTGGAGCAGCTGCACGCCTGGGATCGGCTCTGCACGACACACACACACACACACACATCCATCCATCAATCCATCCATCCATTTTGATAAGGACGCATGCGCACCTCTGTAAGGATTGTCTGTGTGGCAGCTGAGCGCCCTGTCTGTGTAGGCAAGATTGTTGGCCGCTGTGTCCCCGACTGCATACACAAAGACACACACAGAGACAGGCATGCAGAGAAGACAAGACACACTCGTGTCATGTGCACTCACCCACCTGTGCAGACGTCAAAGGCCCGGCCGTACTTGGTCTCCCGCACATAGCCGAACCACTCGGCCGCTCGCAGCACCTGCACACACACACACACATCGGTGTGTACTGATCTGTATGCGATGCGATGATGTGTGTGCGGACCGTGTTTGTGTCGTGTGTGAGTCCCCTGATCATGACGACCCCGTCGCGCCAGAGAGAGAGCAGCACCCACAGCTGACTGTCATAGCTGCCGTTCATTGCATTGCCACACACATAGGGGCGGACGGATGGATGGATGAATGGATGGATGGGCAGCTCTGTGCTGTGTGGACGTGTCTACCGCTGTGTGCCGCCGCCGATTTGATCCCAATCGTACACACAGATGCCGCCCGAATGCTCAGACACCGATGGCACAATCGCACTGCACACACACACACACACACACATATCCGTCCATCCACCCCTCTGTGTGCGCGTGGTGTGTGTGTGTGTGCGTTCGTACGGTGGCGGCTTCTTGCCGTCGCCCTCTTGATCAGCCTCATCGTGAATGTTGGCGTATCCCCCTTCCGCGAGCTGCTGCATGGCCGCAGCGAAGGCCTCGTTGCGCACCCGCAGGTCGCCTGACCGCCATGGCGCCCGCACCTACACACATTCGCACACCTAGATGGATGGATGGATGGATGTGTGTGTGTGTGCGCTTAATACAGAGTCGAGGACGTCCGTGAGCGACTTTTCGTTGCGTGTGAGCATCTCGTCCAGCGATTGTGTTGCCGCTGCTGACCGAGGGGGGGAACTGCACACACACACACATGCAGACACACAGACACAGACACAGACACGTGCAGACAGGCACACGAGTCTCCTGCCTACTTAGGAATGACGTGCTGGTAGAGCCACGATGCAGGGAACGTGGAAAGGCCTGGACACAAACACAATGGCGTATACGCAATTGTGTGGGTGCACCGTCCCCCCCACCCTCCCACCGACCCACGCCACTTACCCCTCTCTCCCCAGTGCAGCTGGATGTAGTCCTCCGAGAAGGTCAGCCTGGCCCCGCTCCCCAGCACTGAGGATGATGGCAGCTGACATACAGACACACAGACAGAGAGAGAGATGGACGAGCCACGCCAACATCGATCTACTACCCACTACCTGCCATGATTCGTGCAGCCGCTGCAGGTTCTCCGTGCGGTTCTGCGGTGCGTTGTCGTACAGCCTGATGGACAGACAGGTACAAAGGTGGACCGATAGACACGGACAACACACACGGACAACACATGCATAGATCTTTGCCTGCTACTCACCATGTGTAGTGAAAGAACGCCTTCTCGCCACTGACCCACTCGACGCTCACACCTACACACACAAGAAAGTGAGAGAGAAAACAAAGCAAAGCGCGTGTGGTGTCTGTCTGTCTGTGAAGACTGCGTAGCGTACCGTCCTGCAGTTTGGTGCATGCCTTCATGTAGGGCCCGGGCACCAGCCGCCGAATGCCCGACGGTGAGGACGACTGCCGACAGATGCGAGTCAGCCACATGATGGATTGAAATCAGATCTGCTCCACTGCTGCGAGACGCAAGATCTGCGCGTTGGGTTACAGGGTAGGGTTTCGTACCCTGACACTGAACACCTTCCCGAGAAACAGACTCCTTCTCATAAAGACTCGAGAATGGCCAGGAAGTGATTGAATGAATGAATGAATGAATGAAGGGGGGGAAACTGTCATTAACCGTAACACTCGTCTGTGTGTCCGTGATACTCATACAAATACAGTCCCATCAGCACGCAGACTCAAACAGGCTGAAGGGGAGGAGGGATCAATCCCCGCCCCATCAGCACACCCCAGTCCCGCAAACCCTCCCCTCCCTCCCCCACGCAGACAGAAGCTAGTCGCACGCGCGAGGGCGATAGACAAGCGAGAGCGAATCCATCCAGACACATTGTAAGAATAGGTGGGAGAGA